ACACACAAAAACAAAAACCAAAGAGAACAAGTTACAACACGTTTTACCTTTTCCACCACCAAATTTAGCTGCAGTGTCATTCCTTTCTGAGTTTTCATTCTCTCTCAGCTGACCCAGATCCTCACTACCTGATAAACAAAGGAAGAACATATAAGCAGGAACACAGAGCATTCTAACTACTTGAGCTCAAGAAATATTGCTTCCTTAATCAAGCAATTTAGAAATTAAACTGAAAGAATTTTAGGGAACAACAGAGGAAGAGAGGCAATTTAGAAATTGGATTTGAAAAAGAAAAAAAAAATTAAGGCACAAAAGAGGCATTGCCGCCTTCTAATTTCGATGGTGAGCGCACTGGTTTACAAATTAAAACCATACTTTCTTAAATTTCATAAGGGGTTTAGCATAAGAAAAATAAAAAAATATACAGCATGAATCTTTAGTTAGATTTCAGGTATTCACCACTTTAGGTTAAAAAAAAAATTCTTTTTATCTTTTTGGGGTCATCAACACCTTTCCAGACTGTTCAGCTGCAAGTATCAACTCGGAGAGGAAAGAATCTGAATTTTTGTAGCATATAAGAAGCTATAAAGAAAAATATAGTGAAGGAAACCACACCTGAACAAGAATTGGAGAATTAATCAAGCATACAACAGAAAATACATATGCAAGAAAAGTACATTAGAGATACTTCAGGCTTCTTCAAACAAAAAGCAACCCAAGAATCATGGTACTTTATTATATTCCTTAGCTAACTTCTATGTCCTTTTATTGATAACCGATAAATCCTCGAGGGCCAATGGCCCAAGGGGTTCAAAACTCGGTGGATAATAGGAGCCCCTCTATCCTTCTCCACTTAAATACCAGGCTTTTGCCTGCAGCAGGGTCCGACTCGTGATGTGCGTCTAATCCACTTAACACGCAGTTGCACTCTTACCACATAAAGCCCTTGCGCCAACTTATACATGAAGTCCTTACAAATCAAAAAAGAAAAACTCCAAGAAAAATAATATTGCACAGAGGAAAATTATAATCATTTTCTCCCACTGACAGGACCTTTAGTTTGGATGAGAGAACAATTAAGATAATCATAGCTTTCGGGTCACAAGGACGAAAGCGAGTAGAGAAGCATCTTTACTGTCATCAAATTCTAGGGAGAAGTCATTGTATAAACAAGCTTCACCTAAATATGAAAACGGAAAGCAAGAGGAACCCGAAGACATCATATAGAAAAGAAATACCATTTGAAGTAGTCAAATCTTGATCTTTCTGACAACTTGAAGCATCGGACTTTGGGGAACCTGCTACATTTTTATTCCGTGAACCCAAATGTATAACAAGCTTTGGTCCCTTAGAGGTCTTTGGCATGCTTGTCTGAATCCCAATATCATCCCCATCCAAACGCTGAGGCTTGCTGCCTTTAATTTGGACTGTCCTCTTACCCTTGTTTCCTGTAACCTCATCAATAAATTTGTGCTTTATGACCCCTGCCTGATTAATTGAGCATATACCTTCTGTCAAGCTACCAACAGGAGAAGAAAACCTATCCAGTTCCCCATAAGCCTGCAATTCTTCATTCTTGACATAACCAGCACCATCATGATGTGTTTCGTTTTGTCCGGTTAAAGACAATTGCTGCCCTTTCTTTTTACCAGATTTCTTGCAAGAAGATTTCTTTCCATACTCCTTGCTCTTTTTGGGAGATTTGTCAACTAAACCTTTAAGAGAAAACTTCAGAGATCGACTATGTTCATTTTTTACTACAGGACCACTATCTTCATCATCTGAAAAGGGTGAAATAGAAAATATTTCTTCTTCAACTGGCAACCCAGCTCCTGCCCTCAAACTTGCAATTAATTCCTTATCGGATTCATCTCTCCTCCTCCAAAGCTCCTGAACAGCATCCTCAAGATTTCTCACCTGAGAAGGTCAATAGAAACTATCATGATAAAGTTCTAGTTTAAAATTTTCTAGTTGAATTAACCTTGCCGTAAACATACCTGATAACTATTTCCACGGCATGTTGGACAGGCATACTGCAGATTTCCATCCACTTGAAACTGCATATATTTTTCATCACTGCAAAGCAAATACTCACTTTCAAATTAAAAGTTTCAATGGAGTCCCTCTCTCGAAGCTTTAGTGAAACTGCTAGCAAGGTTGCATAAGTTAACAGCTTTATATGGCATGACTGACAGAAGAAAAGAAGTGCCAACTACAAAATCTCAAACCACAAAGATGTCAGGATATTTTGTATAGCGAAGGGCAGAAAAGGAGCTTTCCGGTAATTAGAAGTAGTGCCCTGTCAACTGACTCAACTCTTAATAAGGCGGAATGCAGTATAAACAACCGAAAATGCCATTCAACGATTCAATGAAACAATTAAAGCCAATGTGGAACAGTGAGACTACTTCGAAAACGCTTTCCACATAGCAACAGAGAAAATCTGCTAAAGAATGCCAAAAAGGTACAGGATGCTGTCAGTAATAGCTTTCTGACATTTAATTTCAGAGCAGAAATGTCTAACCTAATGCACATCCATATTGCACATATGTCAGGAAACAATATTGCATTTCATAAGAAAGGCACAAATGCAAAACCAATAAATTAATAATATTTTAGGCAATGATTAAGCAAACCTGATGCCATCACATTGGCAGTGCACCCAGCGCTGGCAAATGTCACAGCAAACCATAGGTGTTGCTTCAGAATCTCTATAAACCTACAGTACAAAAAACAATTAATTGCATTCCTCATACACGTTGGGAAAAGCAATCAATTACTTTGCAAAGGAAACAAGCACAAGGCATTCCATAACAGCAGCTGACAAAATAGCCATTTTACATTTGTAAACCGCCATATTACAATTAACCCCATTGAATTTAAAAATAAAGAGAAGCTCAGATAATCAAAACCGCCATGCTATCTACCTTCAAACAAACAGGACAGTAGTTTCCCTTCACAAATAATCTACCGCAAGCATCACAACAAGTGTATCCTAAAAACCACCTGCAATGCATCAATATATCAATAGTTTAGAAAAAAATAGGATATGCAATCTGCAGTGATACCAAATTAAGGAAATTTAAGTTAATATGCTAAGCAGCAAGAGTAACTGCAAGATAACTACAGAATTCAACCTAATTTCAACATGCCTTAAATGATTTTCATATACCACATACACACAGCAGTATCTGATGGTATCGCAATACTTCGTATGTGGAATCTGGAAAAAGCATCAGTGTGGAAATCATCCATGCTATGGAGTATGGACAAGCCCAAAACTAGAGAACTGAGTAAATTGCTCACAAAACCCCTTATAATAATATATAATGTAAACTAAATATACTCCTGCATGATGCTCCTCTATGAATATACAGAAAAACGACATAGAAAGGGAAAGGGCACACGAATAAGCGCATTAACTAAAATGCGGTTAATCGTAGTGTCCAATTAACAAAATAAGATATTGCAAAACTTGCATCCAAGAGAATTTCCACCAACTGCTCATACTACATACCTTACACTCAGGCCATTTCCTGGAACATTAGAACCACAGCTGTGACACTTTGTGTGTTTGGGACATAAATAAGGTCCACTGCTAACGTTCTGCACATTCCAAAAGCAATTAAGTACATTTCTTTTTTCTTTCTTTTTTCTTAAAAAGGACAACTAAGTGCTTTCTACTTTTATCTTCTTCCTCTTTCTTTTTTTGATAGGTAAGTGCATTCTACTTTTATCATTATATGGAACTGGAGCAGTAAGACACAAGAATCCACCTTGTGTGGAGGCTGCATACAGTAACAGTGATAAGCTCCATCACACCTTTTGCAAAACATGAACTTGTTCGGATCTCCAGTTCTTCGACAGGCCTGCACCAAACAAGGAGCATATAGTCAGTACTCAGTAGATATGAGCAATATAGTGAGCATAAGAACATTACTTGAACAATAACATAGACATCAAATTGCCAAAAATGCAAATCATCACTAGAGAATGATGCGGAATGCATGCCCAAACATTTATAACCCTACTCGATAGGGACACTTCCACTAGTTTTTTAAGGATATTTCCTATTTCAAGAACTCTTGCCAAATTAATATGTTTGATCATCAATATTTGGGCAGAAACTGTGCTTCATGTGATGTGTCTCAAATAGATTGGCAACCGACCTTGCAATTTAACATAACAGGAGAAGACAAGAAGACATTATCAGTAACATCCTGTCATCCATGACCATCAAACACTCAAATAGAAAGGAAAGATAATAGGTTAATAGCTTTTGACATTTATATTTATGTTATATCGTCAGCACATATAAACTCCAATCTTGTGAGAGCAAATAGTCCTTATTCACTGATACTGTCATGTTCCACCCTCTACCACCCCTCCCTCCAAACAATCAAAATCATTTCCGATATCCTCATATTACGACTATCCGCAACAAATAAACCCATTCCCTGTTCATGCAACCTCCATAGCGACACCTATATGCAGCAAAAACTTCAATTTGCATGATATGAGCCGAATCAGTCCTTGCAGTCACTCGGTCAATAAAATTAACAATTCCACGAGCACCATCCGTTGACACCCTTTACCACCCCTTCCTCCAATAAGTCAAACTTTTCACACATCCTTGAATCCAGCGTTAATACAAGCTAGTGATTAAGTGATGCGAAGCGAGGGGTTATTGTTTCATGTGTGATGTCACACGCTTTGGAGAAACGTGGTTCAGAGAGTGAGACAGAAATTGTTTTCACGGTCAATTTATTTCAAATTGACTTTAAAATATGGAGGGAAAATAGAAAAAGGGGGCAAGAAGAGTAGATCCTTTATACATGAGTTATACGAGTCCTATCTACAATTAAGTCTTTTGTTTGTCATGGTTGTCTTCTTTTTCTTTGTTCAAGTTTTTAACGGCTCTTCTTCTTTTACTATTTTTCTTTGTATTTTAAAATTAAATTTTTTCTACTTTTTCTTCTTGAAAGATGACTCTTTCTTAGTATGCAAATGCCTTCTTCAACTACTTCTGATTTTGAACTTCTTTATTGCTTCTCTTCCGACTTTCTCCATAGTTACTAAAGCAATTCAATATGACACCGAATGCTGCACCCTAATCCTTTTCTATTTACAAGTACTGCTGCAAACTAATTCTTCTTATAATTGATTAATTCATTGTCGATTAATTGAGAATTGAAAATCAATGTTGCTATTGACGTTTTATTCTGTGACCTTGTGAAACTTTATTTTCATTATATTAAATTTGAGTTGTTGGCCTACATATTTTCATTCTTGTATAACAGGTACTGAAAATAATAACGCTTTTTAATCAGGTAATAATAATGTTAATCGCTATTTGATCTTATAAGTACTAAATTCATATATTTAGGTAATTTTATATGTTTGATGATTCATACACTTCAGTTTGACGAAGCCTGTGCTTTGATTCTTGCTTCTTGCTTTTGATTAAAGCTTCATTTTTCTTTTTGCAATTTTCTCTTTTAAAATACTGCTTAAATCCTACCAACATCCCAACCTACAAACCCATTTTTCTACCACATGAAACCTCCATAGTAAAATCTAGATGCAGTGGGCAAGTTTCGTGGTGCCACAAGAGAGAGTAGCAAAGGAAGGGGTAAAGGTTAAAGGCCGGTTGGTTCTAGCATTTTGTTTGATTTGGTAAGGTCATTGGTTAGAAGGACTAAACTACCTCATTCCGAACAATGTGAAGGTTTAATGTGCAATGAGTTCTAAAACAGAAATTAAAATCAAAATCAGCGAAGGACAGAAGGTTAAAAGTGCAAAAGACCAAACAGAAAGCTGGAGAAAAAAGAGGCAAAGCAAAAACCAAAAAGAAAATATAATGATTCAGTAAGACCTCCCAACTAAACATGATAAACTTTACACCATAAAGGTGAAACACGGAACTACAGTGACTCATTTCACATTAAATGACTTCTTACAACCAGGGATTGGGTTTTCGACAAGGGTATTATCATTGGAAGCCATTATTGCTTGCTGCTTATTTGGCTTTGACATGGTGCATATAGTAGAAACTGGAAAGAAGTTCACAGACGTTTCAAGACCAAAGAATGTAGGGTACTTGATCCAGCAGAAAGTAGTCTTCCCTGTTTCTTAGAGGACAAAGACTAGTTGGTGTGGCAAAATGGTTAGTAAATAATGGGTTTGCTTATAGGTGGGGCATGGGTCAAATTCTACCTGTTTCACCATCTCATTGATTGGCGTACATCATACACATACAGAGGGCTCCAGTTGAGAGCATTGACTTAAAAGTAACATCCTTGTTTCTCAATTGACTGCACATAAAGATGTGGAAAGAATTTTTTTCTAGTATTATGACACCCACCTTACTCAAGATCTTCTTTTCTAATCGGTGTACCTTTACCAAGATTTGTGTGTCAAAACTGACATGGGTGACCTTTTCTAGGGCTAGGCAGCAGGCTAGAACCCAAATTGCCTATGTATGAAAAACCTCAGTTTGCTACATATGGCTAGCAAAGAAGATTAGGGCATCAGTTGATATCTCTGATAAATTCACTTTTTACATTTTGTTAGGTAATAAAAGTAAATGTTTTGTCCAATAACATTTGACTTTCTTATTCACAAAAAGAACAAGAAAGCAACTCATGGCACAAAAGACTTTCTACTGGCAGCTTTTAAAAAAGCAAAACCAACTATTTTTCATTATTGAAAAGAATCAAAAGTTTTACCTCACAAAGCCGGCATGAGGGACATGTCCATGAACTCCAATGAAAGAGATCTGCAGAAAGGCGTATATTAGCAGAAGCACAACACTAAAACTGACAAATCATGTAGCCAAGAATAGTACCTCTATGTTGACCCCATGCTTTCAGGCAGCCTCGGTGATACTTCTTTCCACAACTTTTGCATGACATCATTTTCCTCGCTTTTTCACTTCCTTCGCTTTCACCACAAAAGCATAGCCTACACATCACTTTGACATTTGACAGACCTTGTTCATCTCCACCAACATCTTTCACGGAGCCCTGAGGATAGAAATTTATTTTTAATTAAAGTTGAATACTATCATGTAACCTGTTAAGATTCCAGCCTCCCTCCCCATAAAAGTTCATGAATATCAGTAGAATGAGCAATTAAAATGGGTTATTAAATATTCTGTAACAATGCACCTTTAGATTATGAATTGAATATTCTGTAACAATGCACCTTTAGATTATGAATATTCAGCTGGTAAGTGACAACGTCTATTTGGTTTAGTTTGTGAAACGATAATGAAATATCCGAACCATTATCATGTCCAAAAAACTACACCTCAGTGGGTATTTTGATTATCAAATCCAAAAGGCTTCTAGATAAGTGCTTTTTGTTTGAAGCGCTAGCCGACCTTTAAGGTTCGTTTAGCTGACACTATTTATGCGGGAATTATAATGCAAGGATTGTCTATGCGGTGATTAACAATTAAGGGATTCTTATGTGGTGATTGAAAATAAAGATTGTTATACATGAATAATGAAAGAAAAAGGATCTGCACACGGTGTTTATTGACTTGGAGAAAGCGTACGACAAGGTTCCTAGGGAGGTGCTCTGGAGATGTCTTTGAGGCTAAGGGTGTGCCGTAGCCTACATAAGAGCGATCAAGGACATGTATGATGGAGCTAAGACTAAGGTTAGGACTGTGGGAGGCGACTCAGACCATTTCCCGGTTGTTATGGGATTACACCAAGGCTCTGCGCTTAGCCCGTTCTTATTTGCCTTGGTGATGGATGCATTGACACACCATATTCAAGGGGATGTGCCATGGTGTATGCTATTTGCTGATGACATAGTTCTAATTGATGAGACGAGGGCCGGTATTAACGCGAGATTGGAGGTTTGGAGACAGACCCTCGAGTCTAAGGGTTTCAAATTGAGCAGGTCTAAGACAGAGTACCTGGAGTGCAAGTTTAGCGCTGAGCCGAGGGAAGTAGGCAGGGACGTGAGGCTTGGATCACAGGTCATCCCGAAGAGAGATAGCTTCAAGTACCTTGGGTCGATGATTCAGGGGGACGGAGAGATCGACGAGGACGTCACTCACCGTATAAGGGTGGGCTGGATGAAATGGAGGCTTGCATCTGGGGTTTTGTGTGACAAGAAAGTGCCACTGACACTCAAAGGTAAGTTTTATAGAGCTGTGGTTAGACCGGCCATGTTGTATGGGGCAGAGTGTTGGCCGGTTAAGAACTCACATATCCAGAGGATGAAGGTAGCGGAGATGAGGATGCTGAGGTGGATGTGCGGGCACACTAGGATAGACAAGATTAGGAATGAAGATATTCGGAAGAAGGTAGGTGTGGCCCCCGTGGATGACAAGATGCCGGGAGCAAGGCTCAGATGGTTCGGACACGTGCAGAGGAGAAGCCGTGATGCGCCGGTAAGGAGGTGTGAGCGGTTGGCCGTGGTGGGTACGAGAAGAGGTAGAGGGAGGCCTAAGAAGTATTGGGGAGAGGTGATCAGGCAGGACATGGTACGAATGCGGATTTCCGAGGACAGCCCTTGATAGGAAGGTCTGGAGGTCAAGCATTAGGGTTGTAGGTTAGGGGGGTAGTAGAACTTTTCTTACTTCTTTCCGGGGGTGAGGCGGGGTTGGATTAGGGTTGGCCTTAGATGGCTTGCAGTTTATGTTGAATACACACTATACTTGCTGTTTATCTGAGCCCCGGGCCTGGTTACTGTTATTGCATGTCATCCATCTTTTGATTGTTATGCTTCTGTTACTATTACGATTTCTACTGGTGTTACTAATGAATTGTCTTTTCTTGTTTTTCTTATTTCCATCTTTCTGAGCCGAGGGTATATCGGAAACAGCCTCTCTGCCCTATCGGGGTAGTGGTAAGGTCTGCGTACACATTACCCTCCCCAGACCCCACTTGGTGGGATTTTACTGGGTAGTTGTTGTTGTTGTTGTTATACATGAATAATGAATTACGTTAAAGGGGCATTTTTGTCTCTAAATAGTTTAATCCCACATTGTTAATACATGTATACTTATACCACATCCTATTCCCAAAAAATAATTCCTAGATTCCCGCATAACTTAATGTGGGCATTATGCAATACTGCATCCAAAATGCTATGTTGCCGTGATTAATTTTTTTATGCAGCCAACCAGACACTGTATTATCTTATGGGGATCTTTACGCTGAGCCTAATTATCGCAATACATCAACCAAACGACCCCTTAGAGCATAATGTCCACTTCATAGAACATTCTCACATTCTCAAATCAATATATTCAAGAACTTACAGCCTAGATCAAAAAGTAAAGAATGGAGCGTGTGACTAAAATGCATTTAACCAACAACCTTTACTAAACATAAACGCCTCTCACAAGGAAAAGGAATTCAACGGCTGACTCATGCTTTATATAATTCAAACACAAAATAATCCATGAATTTCTCAATCCTATAGGAAGCACCATCAATGCACTCTCTTTTAATCTTTGGTGTACCTTTTCTCCTCTTGAAGTGGAACACTACACAAACACTTAATAATCTAAAACATATGGAGTTAAATAATCAGCTACCCTTAAAGTATTCATTCAACCTAGAACGTCTTAATTCTTTCCTCACTAGACAAAAGAAGCTCGGCACTAAAAGATAAAGTAACAACAATAGTGATGGCATTAGGTAATGATGATGATATGAGCTGAGCTAATGAAAGAAATGAGGATTCATATCGCCGACCCCAACTTGTTTGGAATTGAGGCATAGTTGTTGTTTTTGTTGTAATAGTGATGGCATTATCCACACGAAACATAAAGAGGCAGTAACTTGGAAACAGATCATCTCACTCAGAAACCATATATTCCATTATCCTGACTATGATATAAAGAACTAAAAACAAGTGTGTTAATTTAAAAAACCAAACAATCTGAAAATACAAGAGGAAAAGGCCTACAATTACTAACCTCCAGATCTCCAGACTCGAATCGTCTAGCGAAATCCTCAGCCACCATAGATGCAGCAGCAGCTTTCTTCTGCAAAGCAGCACGCTTAGTCTGTGCTGAAGCAATAGCAGCTGCCTCCTCTCCATCCCCACCACCACCCCCATCACCTACCGCCGCCGGCTGGGGAGGAGGCGGAGCAACAACAATCTTGGGTACCTTAACCTGAATTGTGGCACCTTCTTTAGCCTTAAGCAACCACGGGTCCTTAAGAAACTCCTCAACCCTAACCACATCTTCCAAGAACTCATTTTTACCCTTTGGAAACCCAAGTGGGCAGTAACAGATCCTTCGACTACACCAAAAAAGAACAAAAACCCACAACCAAAATTAGAAACACTCAACTGGGTCAGCAAAATACAAAGAAAACAACAAAAGATCACAAAATAAAGAACCCCATTTGGGTTCCATCGATAAATAAAGAGAGAAATATCAGATCTTCCAGCTACACCACAAAATTGCGAAACCCCGCTTAAACAAACCCCAGGTAAACAACTAAAAAACATAAAACAGAGAAACCCATATGGTATTCTTGGATAATAAGAGAGAGAGTAGAGAGAAAGAGTGATAAAAAAGAGAGGAAGAGAGAAAAATAAACAAAATTATGTTCAAAAAATAGGAAAATAAAAGAATGAGGGGGAAGTTTGTAGTACCAGGTAATTGGACAAGCTACGTGAAAGGCCATACGCGAGATAAAGATTTTGGTTGTATGAGAAATTTTTGAAGAGTTTAAATTGGGAAAAGCCCTTTTGGGGGAAAAGAGAGAGATTAAGGGAGGGGTTTGGGTGTGGGGTGTTGGGGATATACAGAAGTTTATAAGGTGAGGAAATATTTCAAATTTGGCCCATTGAAGTTTTGAAATATGTTTTAATAGAATCCATTATATTTATAGGGTAGTGGAAAAAAGGGAAAAGCTTTGAGAGATAAAACTTTCACAAAGACACCTATGGCCCCTTAAGTTTGGGGTTATTATGTCCATAAAATACAACATCGATTATAAATAGTCCTTTTTAAAATTATTCATGAATAATCTTCTATATTTGTAAAAGTGTGTCGCTTTTAATCTATCTAAATAAAGAACTCATTATGCAAAATAGCTATTGCTCATGATCGAGCTCATATTAAATTTATTTACCTTTTATACTATCAATTTTAAATCGAATACATCACATTTGTTCTAATTGTTAAAAATTAGATGCTAAAAATCGAAGAAATACCAATAAAAGGCATATGCTTTAAGAAGCAAAAGATATAACACAAATCTTTGAAGTTTTCATCGAGAAATGCTTTATGCGATTGTTTAAATAATTAATAATACGTATTTGTCGCTTAATCAATATAGTGATGAAATTGAAAAAAATATACGATATTAATCAATGATCCTCTATGAGCTTGATAGTTTTGTGATCAACTACAAAAAGAATTTGAGCAAATATACAAAATAAAAGTGGATTATCTGACAACTTCCTTTAGTTCACAAAATACTAAAATTCTATGCATTTTTCATTTATGAGGTAGCTAATCTTATGTAGGCTTGTTGAATTCTTCTTTTTCGTACTATTTACTTACTACTTTGCAATGTTTTTTTTATCAACATATACTTTATTCATGGAATCCTTTATATATATATATATATATATATATATATATATATATATAAAAAATCCATTCACTATCTCATTGCAGTATATATCTTAGTTTTGTAACGACCCGGCCGGTCGTTTTGAGAAATCAAGCTTCGTTCGACGGTGTAAGGTCTGGAACAGCTTCATAATATGTGGATCGACTTGTATGCATTGTTGAATTCAGTTAACAGATGATTCAAAGTCGAATTGGAAGAAGAAATCTAGTTTTGGAAGCTTAAGCGGTGAGAATTTGACTGGAATTGAACTTTGGAGTAAACGACTCCGGAATGAGTTTTGGATGATCTTAACAGCTTCGTATGGTGATTTTGGACTTAGGCGCACGTCCGGATTCATATTTGGAAGTACGTAGGGTAATTTGAGGCATTTCGGCGAAAGTTGGAAAAGTTGAAGTTTGGAAAATGGAGAAGTTTGACCCATAGTTGACTTTTGTGCTATTGGGGTCGGAATACGATTCCGAGAGTTGGAACAGCTCCGTCTTGTCATTTGGGACTTGTCTGCAAAATTTGGCGTCATTCCGGGTTGATTTGATTGGTTTCGACACGAGTTTTCAAAGTTGGAAGAATTGGAAGTTCATAGTTCAATTCATGGCGCGATTTGCATTTTCGGTGTTGTTTGATATGATTTGAGACCTCGAGCGAGTCCGTTTTAGGTTATAGAACTGGTTGGTGTGTTTAGACGGGGTCCCGGGGGCCTCGGGTGTGATTCGAATGAGGTTTTGATGTTTTTGCATAGTTTTAACAGGTCTGGTTCGGGTGTTTTCGCACCTGCGACCTTGGAGCGCAGGTGCGGCTCCGCTTCTGCGTGAGCCAGACCGCTCATGCGGTCATGGAGGCCTGGGAGCTTGTACGCTTCTGCGGAGGCTGGCACGCAGGTGCGATGGCCGCTTCTGCGATCCAGTGATCGCACTTGCGGAGCATTTTCGCTCTTGTGTTTTCCCTTCCGCTTCTGCGGCGCCGTTGGTGCGGCTGTCCGCAAATGCAGTCCCAGGCCAATTAGTCAAAGTTTGCAGATGTGGTCTCTTTTTCGCAAATGTGGTCCCGCAGATGCGATTACTTGACCGCAGGTGCGGAAGTCCTGGCAGAATCATATAAGTCGAGGGTTTGGCCATTTCTTCATATTTTTGAGTTTTACACTTCGGATTTGGGAGCTTCTTTTGGGGTTTTTCAAGCAAATCGATTGGGTAAGGGTTCTTCACGTAGAATCTAACATATTCCATGATTTAATCTTCATTTTTATCTTTATATTTGTGTTTTGGGTTGAGGGAAATGTTGGTTTTTGAAGAAAATTTTTAAAATAAAAAAATCATGATTTGAGGGACCAAATGGTATCGGAATTTGATAAAATTTGTATGGTTGAACTCATATTGGAATGGGTATTTGGATTTTGTAAAATTTATCGGGTTCCGAGGTGCGGGCCCGGGGGTCGACTTTTGGACCGATTTTTGAATTTTGTTAAAGATTGAGACTTTATGATCCAGAATAGTTTCTTATGTTTTTTATTTGTGCCTTGAAGTTATTTTGGTTGGATTTGAACCGTCCGGAGGTCTTTTCACCCGAGAAGTGCATTTTAGAGTATTGGTCTGTCGTCTTTGAAGTAAGTATCTTGCCTAACTTTCTGTGGGGGACTTCCCCTTACGATTTGAGTCTTCTGTGTTGATTGTAGTTCGTGTACGCGAGGTGACGAGTGCGTACTCGGACTTATTTGTCGAGAATTGGCCTTTTAGGGTTCTTATATCCATTATGTACGGACTTATTCTTGATATGACTGCGTTCCTGCTTACTAGTTTCGTCTCTACATGCTTAATTGGAATTAATTGCTTCATGATTCACTCTTATTGCCTAATTATCATCCTATTTGATTTAACTGAAGAATTTCCTCTCTCCTATTGTCATGCTACATTTTTCATAACTGCCTGTGTTATTTGAGATTATTATCATCCCTCCTATAATTGTCTAGTTTTAAGTGAAGCTAAGATCACCTTTCCTTAACTGAATTGTCGAATATCCTCGTAACTTTCCAACCTTAAAAGGAGTTTAGATAACCTATATCCTTGTTGACTTGCCTTTGTTTGGGACTACTGGACTCGTGTTGATTTCCTTGTATATTGTGGAGTCGTTACTACATGTTAGATTTCCCCTTTTGTTTAACTGTTCCCTTTATGCCCCTTCATTTTCCTTACTGTGGTTATTCCTTGTGAACTGTTTCTATCGTTTCCTTGTGATTTAAAGTTTTGGAGTGGATTCATTTGATGTACTTTGTATTACTATCGTTGTTGTTGTTGTACTAGTTGTGTTGGTGCACGAGGTTTCTGCCATGCGGTTGTTGTTATAGAGTTGCACGAGGTCTCTACCGTGCGGTTGTTGTTATGGGGTTGCACGATGTTTCTGCCATGCTATTGTTACTATTGATATATTGCACATGCGGTGTGATAAGACGGGATATATATATGTTATATATAGGTTGCGCATGTGGCGAGACAAGGTGGGAACATTATGATGCACGTGTGGCGAAACAAGGCGGGTACCTATTATGTTACTATTGCACACGTGGCGAGACAAGGTGGGCTATGTCAGGGATTTGATTGTGATACTTGTGATGGCCTGGGGGCATTCTTGTTGTTGATGTTGTGTTATGGTACACTTACCTGTATGAGTTCTACCCCGTGAAAGTTGTGAATAAACGCATTACGTGCCGTCCGTTCTTTTCCTTACGTCTTTAACTGGTATAATATATGTTAGAACACTTGCACAAGTATACATGTAGCTAAATACTCCTATTGGTTAAGAAGTTTTCCCCTGGTATTGTAAGTATAGATATACACCCTCGTTTGCTTGTCATATGTGTGAGAGTGGCTCTAGTTAATCAGTGAGTTGTCAGTATGATCATGAGGTGTGATGAGGGCACAAGATGCCAAGTGTTAGGGTTCAGGTATTGAGACCCGTGAACGGTAATTCTGTTCGAGGTTCGGAACTTCGTGGAGTTGTTGGCTAAGACCTGATGTGAAAACTATCGTAGTTTCTGAGTTGTTACTTGCCTTTACTCCAATTGTGATTTAGGATGTTTCTCACTCTTTTATGTCATTATTACGGTGTTTCTGTTGTCACTTGCTGTTTTCTTCCATATTGTGATTGTTGTATTGTTAACCATATCGTGTAGTCTTTATATATACATCATGTTCTGTTGTTCCTATGCTTTTATTTGTACAGTTTATTGGACTAGTAGGTGTCTTGACTGTTCCTCGTCACTACTCCACCGAGGTTAGTCTTGATACTTACTGGGCACCGCTGTGGTGAGCTCATGCTACTCTTCTGCACATTTTTTTTTTGTGCAGACCCAGGTATTGTTCGTTTGTAGCTGTGCAGGCCGTCGCTGAGGAGACTCAAGGTAAACCTGTTGCTACGTTCGCAGGCTTCGGAATCACCTTCCGATTTTATATTCACACTGTTGTACTTATTTCTATACAGTTGTGTGTAGAAGTTCTAGCGAAACTCTGTAGAGCTTATGACCTGTACTACCGGTTTTGGGGTTGTAAAGTTTAAAGAGATTTTTATTTCAAATTTATTAGATGTCATTTAGATGTTGTTGTAGTTTCATTTAATATTAGGCTTATCTAGTCTTTAAGACTAGGTGCCATCACGAAACCCATCGGAGGGGAAATTGGGTCGTGACAAGTTCCTACTCCGTCATATATATCTAAGTGGTAAATATAAATACTTCCTGCAATCCTTAAAACTACACAATTATTTGGCCTACTTGAGTTTCAAAATTCCTCACATATATATTGATTGATTGTATTTCAGTCGTCTGACCTTACAACTTAGCTTTTTTAAAGGTAATGACGTCACGCCTCAACCTGAGGAGGCGTGGCTGATACCCGGTGTCGTACTGGCCCAAGCGAACCACTCTGCAACTCACGAACGTTCTATAAAAACTAGAACATACGTAGACCAATCTGGTTGAACTTATTCTTCGTGTAACTATCATGGGTCAACATGGCCACAATTCATAAGGTATAACTGTAAGTGGGCAAACGCTGTATTAGCGAACCATGGTACTCAAAACATGAATACACACGACTGTCAAGGCCTCTGACATACTGCACATAATGAATATGTATTTACAAAGCCTCTAAAAGTATTTGACATCAA